GGCCGGACACGAAGATCATGTAGCGATTGGTGATGGCCGACAGGTTGTAGGCAGGTGCCTGTGACGTTCTATAGAGATCCATATTCTTCCGTGGGCCGTAGTCGAAGAAGTTAAAGTCATCGCGAACGACTCGCTGGCCGAGGTGGGCCAGCACGCGGCTGGAGGTGCCGTCCGGGAAGTGGCCGAACGCCTCGATGACCATGTTCTACGACGAAAGTTCATTAGTATCGATTTCGAAATTTTGTCAGATTTTACCCCTCACTAACATCGTCTGTATTTGCAGAGTCAAAGCCGCAGAGGGAGAAGAGGAAGATGGTGCACAGCGGCCGAAGGAGGTCATTGCCGCAGATCAGCGAGGCGATGGCCTGGTCGAGCAGCGAGAGCAGGCCACTGTTGAGGCCGAAGAAGGGCGCGTTGAGGATTCTGGAAAAGGGGAAATTAGCGTCATCATCGTTTTCATCAACACCTAGGAAATCAACACCTACCCAAGAGTGTCAATAAGGGGCGTCGTGTGTGCGGCCACCTGAAGCAACAGTGCCCGAATATTGGCCACATGAGCCACCGGAGCGAGGGCTATGTAGGGGCGGACCAGGGCGGAGTACTGCGGCCTCGCCGACAGCATCTGGAACATGGCCGAGGTGCCCAGCGAGTGGCCGACGTAGCCCAGTTCGGCTGGCAACGAGGAAATCATCATCATCATCAGGTCAGTGTCCTTTTCTTTCCCTTTTCTATTTCTATTTTGCTCTCCCACCATCCTTTTCTCTCTGACTTACCTCTCCCTGTGACCGAGAGAATGTACTCAATATTGGTGGGAATGTCGTAGAGGGCGTACTCGTCCACGCTGAAGGTCCAGTACTCGGCGTCGCTCTGGTCGAGGACCACATGCCTCGTACTGTACCGATTGCCCCGGTAGTTGCTCAGCCAGACGTCGTAGCCGCAGGCGGCCAGCGCCAGCATCAGACTGGTGCTCACCGGCTCGGTCCCATTGCCGCCGGTGCAGTTGGTGGCCACAAAGCCGGGCATCTCGTAGTAGACGCCGTTGACGAGCCGACCTTCGGGGGCCAGGAGAAAGTCGTCGGCGTTGCCGAAGAGGCCATGCTGAAAGAGAATCGGCCGGAGATTGCTCCGGTCGGTGATGTAGGGATTGATGACGCGGACCGTGGTGAGGATGTAGCCGTCCTTTGTGACGGGGTAGTGCAGCTCGCTGGAGAAGCCGCGGCTGGAGAGCATTTGCGTCTGAAGAGTGGATGTGAATTTAGATGTTAGAGTTTTGACTGTTTTTCACTCTGAGAGATTTACCGTGTTTCGAAAGATGTTCGGATTGGCGCTAATGAACTGAAAGCTGGTTCGAATAGGCGGCGGAGGCGGGGTAGAGGTTTGCTGCTGTCCATTTGTGATGGTGGGAAGTATTGCCAGGCTTAAGCTTATGATCCACAGAGTGCTAACAAGTGGCCTTGCCTGGTTCCGCAGGTTAGTCGGCATTTTTAGCTTTTCTCAGCTACTAAAAATTTTGACCACTTGACTATTTTTTTGGTGCAATACTTGAAGCGCCTTTTCGATTTTCTAGTGCCCGCATTGAGCAGCAAAATTTCCATTTCAAATGCGAGTACT